CCCCAAAACCCCAAAACCCCAAAACCCCAAAACCCCAAAACCCCGAGATAGCTTAAGCTGTTGAAAATTAGTAATAATTAATACCTTCTGCTAAAATTGTATTTTGGGGTTTCTTTCTCTTCTCGAAGGTAGTGAATCTTATAATTTTGAGAGTAATTCAGGTCTCAATCATTCAGTGAACGAAAAGAAGGGTTTTCAGGCGTCCACTCCCTGATACTACGATGTTCGTAGTGATCGAAGACCTCTCCAGTGCTACCAGCTTGATGTTTTATGAGGGTCTAATTTGCTTTCCTTCAGCCTGCGAGACATTTCATCATAGATGCTCTTCCATTTTTCTATCTCTTTCTCTTGTCTAATGAGTTCATAGTCATCATCTGGGCTATGTATAGGGATTTCTGTGCTATCAAAAACATCGAAATCTGGAGCTCTCAAGCTTTGAGAGGTAGGGCCAAGTTCCTCTTCTTCAGAGAATCGACCGTATTCATCAGACATAAAGCTGTCTCCTCCTTGATAAGAGATTGCTTGGAAGCTATTTGCAACCACAGATCGCTTGGATTCAAAAATCTGTAGTAAGGTTTGGGCAATAATAAGGACAGACTCGTTAGCATCACTCCCAGAATGTTCAGACTCAAAAACTTGTACTAATTCTAGGAGTTTGCTGCCACTGTGGTCTAGCTTATCCAGATCAATGTTATTAACCATAATTTCCTTACATAGTAGGGCTAAAGAGTGCACAAATGTAGTCTCAGAAGTATAACCCATTCTAGCACTAAAGGTGTTCGACAGTGAAGATCTGTCTAGCATTTCCTATATTTTCAAGTTAGTAGCAGAAATAAAATTGAGGAACCCCTTTAATATTGTTTAGCTTAGATTTAGGCTATAGAAAGAGAGTTTTCTTATTTTCGGATACTTTAAAGTTTTTATGAAGGTATAATACCAAGCCTTTACTCTAAAATAAAAAAATAAGCTTAAATTCTAAATGACTAAGAAAATAACCAGAATCGTTAAAATTTTCATCAGATGTCCATTCTGTATTACTATCAGTTTTATTAAAATTTCAAAACCTTGTTTACCCAAATATATTTTCTGTCGGTTTCATTATTATCAAAGTAACAATACTGCACAAATATAGTGCCTAACCTAGTGAGATTCTTTTACCCTCTTCTTGCCAAAAAGAACTATTTGGGATGCTAAACTAGATTTTTTAACTAAGAATCTATCTTTTTCCTTGAAACATACACTCTCATATACCAAGGGGGAAATCCTCAAGTAGGTTAGAACAGCTTACCCTGTGGAATGAACTGCCAACAGATTCAGTTTCCTTTCTTTTCAGGGTCTTCATAATTTTGTAAAGTCTTTGATTTATCCTTGGAATTGTCTCTTCTCCGGTATCTAAAGCTAATGACAACAATTACCATGGTTAAGGAACTCGGTTAGGTCTAGGTCATCATCCACGAAATTTCTTTGAGTTCGAGCTTGTCTCCTAGGACTTCCAGTACAATGCTGAGAGTGTAGTTCCAAATTCCTAGCTGGAATAAATTCATCACAGTTAATGCACATTGCATCTACCTGCCTTTGAACCCTTCTGACAGGAGGATCTACATGAGGAATATTTGAAGAAGGATCTGTGATTGGAACTGCTCATATTTCAGGCCTAGATAATATAATCTCAAAATTTGATACTCTCACGGCATTCCACTACCTTTTCGTAAGATTTCATAATTCTCTTCTTCTGGCTCTTTGAGATCTACATGTAAATGAGGTGAATTGTTCGAAAATAATTTGAATATATTATAACGGTGTCCAAGCTGGGAAAATAACTGGCTTTTTTTAGAGAAGATAATCAATTCAAAAGCTAAGTCGTTCCATTTAGTGCATGAGTACAACATAATTAAGATTATTTTTAGTACTTTATTCTTACATTTCCATGCTAATCATAGTTTAGGACGATAAAAATTCCTTTTATTTTAAAATTGAGTGGCTTGAGTGATAATTACATAAAAACTACTTCTTGTTCAAACTCAATCAGCATGACCAATAAGTACAGATTTTTGTAAATTAAATTAACCTCTATTTTGTCTTACCCGGTCTGAGATCTTTAAATAAAACTTTTCCTGTATCTCCCATAGTATCTTTCACTTTTGTAGTATCGATATAAAAGTCACCTAAATGTTGTGAGATTCCTAAGGAAGGATCTTCATTGACTTCAGAGTCAACTTGGAGGTCTTCTTCAAGCTTTTCTTTCAGCCTTTGTTTGCTGACAAACTGATACCCTGTGTCTTCTTCAAGAGCTGGTATTTTGATCGGTGAAGGATCTGCTCGGTATATTTTATACTCAGGTGAATAGTCGTACTGGATACTCGGAGCTTCAATGTCAGAATCCAGCTCATCAAAAGAGTCTGATTCATATTCTGGTTGGAAGAGATTTGAAACACGATTTGAAGGTATGGCTTCAATCTTTACTTCATCCTCCTCAACTTGGTCTTCATCAAGATCCTCTTGCTTCAAAGCCTCAATAATCATTTCACTGAGTATCAACATTATTTGAGAATCAATGAGTTCATCACGGATGATTGTGATGTTTTGATTTAACTCATCTAGTTGAAATTTTTTAGATCTTGAGCGATTTTTCAAGTAGTCTTCACCTATCACTGCATATTTTGGGGTGTGAATTTTAGGTTTAAATTCTAACAAAATGATACAAAAGCATACCTGTTAATGTTTCTCAATCTCTTAGCTTCTTTCATACACTCTTTAGCAGCCTCAATAGTCAAGTGGTGTATCGCTTGCTCAAGTATGCTTTCCTGAGGCTTGGTCATCAACTCTTGGGCTATTTCACAAATGTCTAAATCAGCCAATTGAGTAATGATGTTCTGGTTACCATTCCTAAGTCCATTTATGTAATAGGAGTAATTATAACTGAGTTCCTCTGAACCTATCAAGGCTTCCAGTTTATTCAATTTCTCGACTGCTTTAGTCTGATTGAGGCACTCATGCGAAACAGCTACCAGGAGTTTAGTTGCTCAAGAATCTGTTATTTTATCTAAAGATAATTAGGCTAAAGATTTTAGCTATTTACCAGAGATTTCTTGGCTTATTGAGTCTAATATATCAGTTTTCTTATTGTGTTTAAATTCTACAATTGCTGAAGAGGCTATCTCTTGGACTATACTGTTTGACACACTTTCTAGAACCTGATTATGAATTTCTATCGGTAAAACACTCTCTAAAACAACCCCTTCAACACATTTTTGAAGAGTTTCAGTGACTAGAAGGTCATTTCAGGCTCGGGCTTCAGAGTCAGAGGAACTCTTAATTACATCAAAGACAGTGGCATATACTTGATCCATGACAACTTTGTCAATAATCTCTTCACCAATCCTATCCAAATCTTGATCAAGATTCTTTTTAGCTTTAGATTTTATGGCGAACTCATCAATACACTCTTGTCCAATCTCTTTTAAAAGATCCCTGACTGTACAGTAAACAATAAAGTCTCTTTCATGATGAGCTGCAATGTTAAACTCTTTCTTCTGAAGCCTTTTCTCATCATAAATACATCTTTCTGCTAGATCTCTAGTAAAGGTCTTGACCATATTATCAAACACAAGGGAAAATGAGTGCTCAAATTTTATTTTCTCTTCCTGCTGTTTTCGTTTCAGTCGGAGTTCCTCCTCCTGCTTTTGTTGCAGAAGGGCTTTCTGTTTGATCTGTAGTAATTTCTCCTCTCTGTTATTTACACTCTTGCTCTTCAGCACAGTATTGATAGGACTCTTTGACTATTTCTGAAAGCAGACTGGTCATTGCAGAATCAAGTATCTCCTCTCTAGCTGCTCCATATTTTGATTCAAGTCTGATGTTGTGGAAAGTAGAGTTTATCACTTCAAAAGTCATATTATCAATCAGGGAAAGGTACACATAGTAGGCGTCAATGTAGTCCTCAGCAATATTTTCCTCATCAACGTGGGAAACAAACTCTTCATTCTGCTCCTCTATTGATTCAATGTTTTGCTTCATACTTCTTCCAGAAAATATTTTGAGCCTATCTCCTATTTCTTGGTTTTGGGCAATTGGAACTTTCTTTTTGAATATTTCAGATATTTGCTTTCCTTTGGTTTTTGAAGACTGGCCCTTTTTAAATATATTTAGATTTTTCCTCCTCGCCATAGCATCACTCTCCTGACTATCACTCTTTTCTTTCCCTGAGAGCTTTTGTGATTTAATTTTAGCTTCAGCAAAATTAGCCAAGGTAGCAACATCAAGTGGGATAGATTGAACGACTCCTTCCTTCGCTCCAATGTTTGCAAATTCAAGACTGTGCCTACTAATAGAGGATCTTTTAAGGCTCTCATTCTTACTTTTTTTCTCTTCATCACTCGAGCTATCACCAATAGTGACAACTCTTCTCTGATTTCGATGGTGCGGGAATATATTCTTAGTTCTTTCCTCAGATTGAGGAGCATTTTGTCTCCTCTCACTTTTCTTCTTAGAAAACAGATTCCTAATAGTTCTTGGTCTGCCTCTGCTGTTATCTAATATTTCCTTCTGTTCAGAAAACTGACTGCGGACTTCCTTTCTTTGTTTTCTTCTAAATTCTGGAGTTCCATTGCTAGTACGTCCTTTAGAAAATTTCTCAAAGAAGTTGGCTGAGTCTCTAACACTAACTTCTTGAGGGGTTTCTTCATCTGAAGAGAGATCTCCTATCATTTATAATAATTTAATATTCTATAAAAACATTAGCTGGGGTTTTGGGGTTTTGGGGTTTTGGGGTTTTGGGG